TGTAATGAAATTCAAAATAAAATTTTGAGTATAAATGTTTACAAAATACACACACATGTTTTTTAGAATTCAATTTTCTCATAATAATTCTTTTTTTTTTTTTTTAAAATGATTTAGCAGTTGCCAAAAAATACATCCCTTACATAATCAAGAGATTTTTCTAATTTTCATCCTAAGTCTTTATAGTTTATTTAACATACTATGCAATAGAAAAATATTTTACAATAAGTTCATTTTTGAAACATAACAAAAAAAGTGATAAAAACACTATCATAATTGACAATAATATACAAATAAATAACATGTCGAAATTTTAAAGAATAACTAATATAATTTTATTATCTAACCATCAATAAAATCATTTAATGATGTGATTATTATCTTTTAAGTAATAAATAATATTAATTTTTTCAAAAAATATTAGTGTTATATAATTAAATAAAGTTTAAAAAATATTACTCGACAAATATTAATTATAGTGGATATCAGTAATTGCATAAAGTATTTAAGGAAAAAATCTTGAAGATCATATTTGGATACTAAATGTAAATATGCAAGCATTTAATGCATATAGAAAAAAATTTCCAAATAAAGTATGCATTGAATGTGTGTTGACTTTTCTTGCTACTGTTTTTGGTAAATAGGTTGGCTTTTACTAGATAATAGATACCACTCATGGCCCTCCCCGTAATTTCAACCTTGTACGAGCCCTAAATCCGTCATAATTTTACGCACATGTCGATTCGATTTATATATAGAGAGAGAGACGACAGCCGTGGAGGCCCCGGAAACTGTGAGATTCGCGGAAGTTAGGTGGCGGTGCAAATGGCCGGATCGCCTCCGAGACGGCGTCGTTTNCCCCTTCCTCTGGCGATTCTTCTTCGTTTGTTCATCCTTCATTTTCTGTACGAGTCCCATTGCATCCACTGTTAGAAGAACCCTAAGGAGGAGGTCTCAGAGGCTTTTTCTCTGCAAGGTTTGTGGATTGGTTATTTTGGCGACCTGCATTGGGATTGTAATTGTTGTCTTTGATTGAGAACGATGGGTGTGCCGTTGATCTGTGTTTTTTGAGCTGCATTAATTTGGAGTTTATTCGTTTCGTTTGTGCATGTGGCTGGGTGCAGGTTCGAGAAATGCTGGCGGCGGAGGGGGCGTCGAAGCTTCTCTACGTAGTGGTCGTGGAGGATGGCTCCGCGGCGTCGTCTGAGGCGGCCGCCGGGAATAAGGGTTCGCCATCGTTTAGGTACACGCGTTCCGTTCTGCGGAGTACTCTGCAACTCATGGGCTGCAAGGCTCGTCATGCCTTTAAGGTTCGTCCCTTCCTTTTCCGTTTTCCCTTTTTTTCTTTTCAAAGAAGTGAAAATTCTCCTGTATTCCCCTTGTTTTTCTGTTCAGTTAATGATGATTTGCTCCCCTTTAACTTAATTGCTCGTCGTTAAGGGTGTACGGTGTCTCCGGGTCCGCGCATGAGGTGGTAGTTTGTCCTGGCTTCTGTGTTTGTTGATTAAGATGCGAAATTCTTGGGCTCGGAGAAGATAATCTGTTTTAACATGCATATTTGCTGATTTTTGTACTATCTGTTCCTGTTCCTCTGATCTGCAATGTTTTTGCTGTCCTGAGCAGTAGATCAGTTGATATGAGTATTTCTGTCGAGTTTTCATGATCTCTTATTTAGTTTTACCTCGCAACCTTTATTTGTTTGGAACAGTTCAGAAGATGAAAGTTTATTTCTGTCTCATTTCTTTCTTCTTCCTCATCTTTTTCTTCATCTTATTTTTATTCTTTTTCTTTATGAAGTATTGATGCATTCTGTGACATACTTAAGCCTCCTCATCTCCGGTTTTGGGATGATAGACGTGTTTCTTAGAGGTTCTCTCTGTGAGTGTGTGTGTGTGTGTGTGTCCCCTCCTTTCTTTGGGTGGAATTAACGTAGGATAAATTCTTCCTTGATTCTCTCCATTCACATGTGGATGCAAAATTCGTGGTTATTTTATTTTACCTTTCTTGTTTAACTGATTATAATTACAATAAATCTAAAATATTATTTTTTTGCTTGGACTTGAACCAGTTGTGATATTTGCAATTGGGAGTAATTGTTAGTAGGATGAATTATCTGTTAGAGCCAACCAATGGTACCAAAAATTGTAGAATTAATTACCCTGCATTTTGTACAAATATATTACCGAATGACCTTATGCATCAGAATTTATTGCATGTCAATAATGCATCTTCTGCAAGTTGTATTATGGCCGCCTTGTATTTGGTTTCATGCTCTTTTTTGCACACATCACTAATTTGTACGTCACAATGAGTACTGAAACTCTTAAATTGGTCAGATTAGCCAAAGGGTATTTGATGTGATGAAACACAAGTACTTCCTGGAGAAGTTCGTCTCAGAATGTGTAGAGGTTTCACCGCAGGCTGCTAAATTGTATTCTCAAGCGGAGAATAAGTACTATTTTCCACCCAGTTTGAACAAAGAAGAAGTTGATCATTCATCTGTGGCAGAAGATGAGAGCAAAAGCAAACCATTCGAATTGTACAAAAGACGCACAACCATGGTTGTTTTAAGAAAATATTTTCTAGATGTCGTTTGTGATGCTCTCTCAGAGTACAAGTATGTTGGTCCAAATCAGAGGGCTGATCTAGTATTAGCTTGCAGGTAGAATTGGCATACATGCTCATCTGAAAGTATATAATTTTTCTGGGTGAATGAGTGAATGGGTTATTTCTTTTATAAAATAATATTTGTCAACATATCTTTTTGTTGATTTTGTTCTGTTAACTTGTACGAATAACTATATGTTTACTAAACAGTTCATTAGCTACCTTTTGTAACTGGCACACACACATATATATAATATGTATATATTGCCTTTTTTTGCAATAATCGTAGGGAACAATACCTAATTCAACTACTTGAATGACAAGGCAATCAGAAAATGTAGTGGTTTTTGCTTTTTTAGTTGTTAATCTTGTTACCCATGTTGATTTTTGTGGTACCTGATCAAAACATGAATATACTGCTAGAAAGAGTAAAGTGGTGACTGGTGGGCGGAATGACAAATCCTAATAGTGATATTCTAAATTTTAATAAGGGAAAACTTGCTTAATTATCTTCTCTTTACTGTAGAACTTCTCTGGTGTACATTTTTGCTGCACTTTTTCTTTCTCTATAACCTTTTCCTTGTACTGATTACTTTCTTTAATGTGAAACGACTCAGAATGGTAAAGATAGGTAGAAGTGCTCCTTTTAGTAATGTCAATGTTGATAAATATTTATGCAAAATTATTTTTTGAAATTAATCTTCTTGTCTATGCCCTAGAATTTTGTATACTTGCCTATGACTAATGTAGACAATTGACTATGTGATTACTATATATGCTGGTTTGAGTGGAAACCATGTGATCTGTGTTCTCTAATTTTCTTCTTTTTTCATTTCAGAATCAGAGAAAGAAAGGAATCTGTGACTGTCTTACTCTGTGGTACGAGTGGCTGTGGAAAATCTACTTTATCTGCCTTACTGGTGAGTAATTTTTTCCATGGTTTCACATGTTTGTTTTTGCCACTGTGTCAGTTTTTCATATGTTATTTTTAATTGGTAGTTCATGTATTCCGATTTTTGAACATATCTATGGTGGTTCCATTTTCTATCTAACATGTTGAGATTATCTCCGAGTTATAGTTTGCTATTCATCATATTTATCTTCTCAAACTGTTTCAAAATGACTAGTAACAGCGGTCTTTGGCTCTTTGCTTTGAAGAATTATTTATGATATGACCTGCTGCATCAAACTTGTCCAATTGGTAGTTTACCACTTAAATCTTTTAGCTTCTATGCCTATTCTTATAATTGCCTTATTTGGATTTTTTGACTATTGTTCATATCTTGAACTTTTATCCCACATCAACTTCTAGTTTCCAAATTTAATATATTAAATAGAAGGTCAAACAAGTGTAGTTGCTTGTTCAAAAAATATAAGCTGTCCTTGCGTAAGCATTAACTTTTATCCTTCTTTGGGTTAACCTAGATTAACCATATCCACTGGTGAATAATTAAATCCAGAAATACGTGTCCATATTTATAATCCGTCAATGTAATTGCAGGGTAGCAGGTTAGGTATTACTACTGTTATATCTACCGACTCAATTCGCCATATGATGAGGAGTTTTTCTGATGAGAAACAAAACCCATTACTTTGGGCTTCAACTTATCATGCCGGTGAACATTTGGATCCAGTTGCAGTTGCAGAAGCTAAGGCCAAGAAGAAAACCAACATTTCTGCTGCCTCACTAGCTAAAGATGAAGGGCACAGTAATCCCATGAGTGGAAAATCCGAAGGCAATGTGATGGCCTGTGATTTAGTTAGTCCAAAACAGATGGCTGTTGAAGGATTCAAAGCACAAAGCGAGATGGTAATTGACAGCCTTGACCGACTTATAACCGCGTGGGAAGAAAGGAAAGAATCGGTTGTGGTGGAGGGCGTCCACTTAAGTCTCAATTTTGTGGTAAATACCATGCTATTGCTTTCTGAGGAATTAGTATATACTATAGATTTGACCAAAACTATGTCCCTATTGTTTAGATTATTTAACATGCTTATTCTCATAGGCAAAATAGTCAATCTCACTTTATTTTCCTTCCCCTTAATTTTAACCAAATAAGGTCTACATCTTTTCCTCCCCTCCCCTCCCCTCCTAAGGAAACCAAACCAAACAAGGTAATGTTATTTTACATTTCCTCCCCTTCCTCTTCCCTCCATTAAAATCCCTTCCCTCACCTCCCCTTCATTGAACCAAACATACCGGCATGTTTGCTCGTAAATACTATATGAATATAAGTATTGTGATCTTCTATGGACAAAGACAAAAAAAGTGGACTCAACATGCCGATATTCTAATTGATCAGTGAACATTAAGTTTTTCAGGGCGGTACTGATTTATATTCGACTTAAAAGTTTTACATAAAACTTTTCCTAGAAGTTGATTTGAGATTATTTTCTAATTACACAAATTGGGTTCTTGACCACTTCCCTCAACCAAATTCCTGATGTAGCTGGTGTAAATTATAAGGTAATCAACTCTAATTTTTTGTTCATCGCCCCACAGATGGGGCTCATGAAAAAGCACCCTTCCATCATACCCTTCATGATCTACATCTCGAACGAGGAGAAGCACCTGGAGAGGTTTGCTGTTCGGGCCAAGTATATGACTCTGGACCCGGCCCGCAACCGCTATGTCAAGTACATCCGCAACATCCGCACCATACAAGAGTACCTCTGCAACCGGGCCAACAAGCACCTCGTCCCAAAAATCAACAACACGAATGTCGACCGAAGCGTGGCAATTATCCACGCCACCGTCTTCGGCTGCCTCCGCCGGCGGGAGTCCAGCGACTCCCTTTATGACCCCGTCACAAACACGGTGCCCGCTGTGGATGAGGAGTACCGGAGCCAGTGTGTGGCCTACTCGTTGAGCTCTAAAGGAATGTTCCAGCTCATCCAGAGGCAGGGTTCAACTAGGCACCTCATGGCCCTCGTCAATGGCGATGGCTCTGTGGCCAGGGCATGGCCTGTCGACGTTGCAGGGGACGGGCGGCACGGGCCCATGTATGGCCCACTGCGTGTCGGGAGGGCCGAGCCCGTTAACCTGCAGTTTGGTCACTTTGGGATTAGTGCTTGGCCCGGGGATACTGGGGGCACGAGCCACGCCAGCAGCGTTGACGAGTCGAGGGGCGAGCTGACTGATAATGGTAGCAGGTACTACTCGTCATGCGGCAGCTCGCCCAGGATATCTGATGGACCCGCCAAAGAGGTTATTATTTTTATTATCTGATGGTGGTTTGGTGTCAAAATGTAGTGTTGCATATTTCAGAATGTATATATGGCTGTGACATTTGCTTTTGGACTGGGAAACGTAGTTCATTTTGTTGCATTGTTGGGAAATTTTCTTTTTGTTTTTTTTGTAGCTCAAGGAAGAACTGTCTGTGCATGGTAGTGATGAAGAGGAGGTCGATGAGCCGTTGGAGGTAGACAGTGACGACGATTTTAGTGATGAGCAGAAGGAACTGCAAGAAGAGGTAAGAGATATGTATTCTAAATTAATTATTATATTATTCAGTGACTCTAATTTGTTGGTTTTTTCACTAATTAAACTTCTTGAGGTTTAATCTAATTACGAAAAGTTTCGAACACCTGACTTCATTTTTGCTTCAAGATATGCTGTTTATAAAAAACATTACTTCACTTTCTAATTGCTCAGTTTGTGTCATCAGCTGGAGGGGTCTGTGGACGAGGAATCCACAAAATCGGACGAGGAGTACGATGATCTCGCCATGCAGGACAGTAGCTTCATGTGTGATGATGACAACCAACAAGAGATAAACCTTCGCAAAATGAAGTCCTTGAATTTGACATTCATTTCTGGAGACAGAACACCAGCCTAATAAAAACGGGCTCTTTCATGGAGACAACAAGGACCAACAAAATCTCGACCAGTTCCCGAGAACAAAAAGCGAGCCTCTGTCGGATCCGCTAGTGGTGCGCGGTTTTGCAACTCAACTCAGGGACATAAACGAGAGAAGAGTGCCTCCGCCAGGTGGCAATTATAGAGTGAGAAGGCGTTCTCCGAGCATGCATCAGCTATAAGTTGTAATAATGTAACAATAGACAGGCGATTAAGAGGGTGTGGTGTCTTAGCCTTGTCATCTCGGCTGCCTTTTTTTTTTTTTCTTAAATCCTGTGTAGCTTTTAA